CCGTGCAGCGTGTCTGAAGTCCACTAATCGAAACGCGGCGTTTTCACATCCACACGGGCAGACTGGAAAGCCACACGGCCGTGTGGCCGGGAAATTCTGGGTTTTAACCCAATTTCGAGCCAAAGGGGAGGGAATCGACTTTTTGGAGCAAAAACAGAGTTTTAGAGAGAGAAAGTGCGAAGAACAAACCTAGGAGCTATTTGGAGTGGATTTCTCACCATTGAAGCCCAGATTGCATCCCCAAGAGTGGAGATCATCATCCCGGAGCAGATTATCCTCATTGTTCTGAGTATGACTACTCTAATTTCTGTTTTCCTCTCTCTCTCTCTCTCTCTCTCTATCGAGTAGAACTTTCTCTCACTTGGGTATGAAGAACCCTAGTTCCATGTGTTAGGGATCTTGATTGTAATGATTTGGGATTATTATACTGTTTGATTTTAATCGATTGATGCATGATTCATTGAGTCAATTGAAGTCTGATAATATTTTCTTGATTTCTGCTGCAACCTGAGATAGATAGAATCTGATTAGGTTGTTAGAGCTTCATCAATTGGTAGTGGTAGATTGGTTATACGAGAGTTAATCGATTTAATGCTTTGTACTGGAACCCAATTCCAGTAGTGGAGTTTTGTGCTTATAGCCTCAGCAGTCTATCCCAGTAAAGGTTAGTCGCCTGCCGGTTAGCCTGCCTGAGAGGGCTTGGTAAGCTTAAGAGATTCCAAGCTACTGTCGGATCTTCCGCAGTTTAATCAACTGTTAATCAACCCAGGGTAATTACAACTGTGACCTAACTAAGGAGCTAGGGGGACTCATTGCCGAGTGACTCTTCCCTTGCTTTAGAAAACTGAATAATTTTCTGCTTTCTTACTGCTTTTAGTTAAAATCACAATCACTCGACTTAGTTTGCTAGATAATAGATATTCACGGAGTAGGCATTAGATCTAGACCCCGGGTTGGCAAATAGAGCTTGTTTGTTACTGCATTTCCGGACTGCGATTACACTTGGTCGCAGTTTGGTGTTGTGTTTTAGCGTGTCAGCCCTTGATTTCTAGACGGGCATGGCCCTCCTCGTTGAGGCGGCACATGCTTCTCCTTGAAGTGGCATGTACCTCTTGCAGACTTAGTTTATTTTTAGTCATTCGATCTTGGTCGTGAGGCGGCATGGCCTCTTCGTGAAGTGGCACGTCCTTCTCGAGACTTAGAATACCTTTGACCGTACCGAGGTCTTCCTTGAGATGGCATGTGCTTCTAAATTCTAGATGGACATGGCCCTTCTATTTGAAGCAGCACATGCCTCTCGATTTCTAGATGGACATGGCCCTCTTCGTTGAGGTGGCATGTCCCTCTGCAGACTTAGTGGCTTGGGTTTAAAATCAATATCTATAAGACCCAACTTAAACAACATTAATTGTTATAATGGGTGTGGCCTTATAAACTTATTAATTATCTTGTAACTCACCAATATGGTACAATACAGATGTTATGGTGTAAATAAATGCCCCAACTACTTAGTGGATAAGTATTATGGACTAAATAGTTTGACACCAACTTCACCACATAATCGCCACTATCTGTTCAATGAGCTTACCGCCCATGTCTATGAGGTACCATAGAGAACCACAAAGCCAACCATTTTTTCTTTCACGTGACTCTATTTTAATGGCTTATTGAAGTTGGTGGCATACAAGCCTCTAGGTATTCAATCATCTTGGTCATATAGAAAACAATTAAATAAATATATCTCCTTATTATGCTCGTATCTGGTAGGGGTGGGTATCGGTGCGGTTCGGACCGCATCGCACCGCATTGATGTAAACCGCACCGCACCGCATCTCAATCGAGCCGCACCGCATTTCGACCGCTAAGTTATCGGTGCGGTCAAACCAAACCGCATAAATTAACGGTTTGATACGGTTTAAACCGCACCGCATCTTGACCGCAATTCATTATGGTTTGTACATAATTAAGGAAGCTGCTGGTATTGTTTGATAACTGCAAATCATATGCTATTTACATGAGCATGCTTTCTGCGAGTACGCAGCACCCAGACTAGAAGTTTATGTACCCAAACTAGAATTCCTCGACTCCTCTGCCGCAGGATTCCTCTTTCAACGGGAATGGGTTCTGCAGCAGGAAGAGGGTTGTTCCCGATGGTGGATTCTGTGAGTCCCCAACTGAAACTAAGTTCCACAGATTAGCTCTCCATTAACATCTCATTATGAAAGACCATCATTTCCTCCTAGTTCATAGGGAGTAGGTCTCTGCTGCTGCAACTATATATAATTTCCTACTAGTTCATAGGGAGTATATATATTAAAGCTGCTGCAACTATATATCCCATCAACTAAAACAAAGACACGACATGAACCTTTTCCCCCAACTTGGTTTCCTTTTCTGAAATACCATTGGCAGGAAGTGAATACCAGATCAGCCTTCTGATAAGTCACTGCCAAATGATAAGTGGGAATGACACACACAGCCTAAAACAAATACAAATAAGATTGATTGAAAGGCGATCTCACATCACAAGTGATTTGGAAGAAGTTCATTACACGCTCCATGTCTTCTATCATAGACAATGTTTCTCTTGCTTTCAAAGAAAATTCAGCCATAAAACTTGAACTGGGGATATCGGAGTTGCAATGATTCCATATACAACCTAACTAGACTAGTATGTGTGCTTAGAAAGGTGATGGAGGAGGAAGCTGGCTTTGGGACCTTGCAGACATCGATAATGCAGTGGCAACTCCAGCAGCAAGTATGATCCACCCACAAGAGTACAGAGATCAAAGCATGCATTCATCACAAGGTCCAGAAAAGGTCACACTGACCGTAGGGAATAGATTCACGAAATTAGATGCTAAATGATAAAACCCATTCCCCTACTTGACAGTGTATGCATCTACACTCACCTCACTGTCATTAAGCACATTGCTGCTAGATATCGGTGCTTGAGCTCGTTTTCCCTTCGAGTCTTTTGATTTCATTTTGCCCTGCAAGCATATGAACATTGAACTGACATTAACACTAATCTAAATATCCTTGATCTTTCTTACTGTCCATTTTGATTACATTTTCCATACAAGAGAAACATGACAGTGAAAACAGCTCCTGGGATAATTTAAGATAGGTAAGGTAAAACTAAGAGCTGGTGAAGAACATTAGGCAGAAGCTATCATCACATGGAAAGCTGACACAACCAGATTAATCTCTGCAGATAATGGAACCACGTTGAGAACCCAAATTAAGTGGATCTTGAGTGCGACCCTGGAGCTGGAGAGGGCTACGAACACTACGACCCTTGTTCCCACATTGCAGCTACGAACACTACGACCCAGGAGGAATCGAGGGTTGACGAGGTGGCATAAGAACCCTACGACCCAAGAACAACAGTGAGATTCGGAATTGAGTGCGACCCTGGAGCTGGAGAGGGCTTCTTTCTCCAACGAATTGGGAACGAAAACTATGACTATATGGGTTTCGAGGAAATCACACTATTCACTATCAGTAATCGAATTTTGTAGGGGGTGGGTTTCAACTGGATGCAGCTTTACACAGAGCTGCCCTAGATCCGTAACTTCAAATATAGAACCAAAGGAGAAAGCATACCTGATCTCGCCGGTACAGGTGTTTTTGATAGTCGGCCAAAGCACCGGAGCTCCGAGAATGGGAAAGATCGAGATGCCTTCGATCCTAGAAATCTCCCGCCTCTTGGTGTATTTGACAGTCCGCCAAAGCTGGGGAAGATGGCGCCGTGGAGAGAAGATGGCGGAACCAGAGAATGGTCAGATCTGGTGCTGCCGCCTGCCGGAGAGAAGATGGCGCCGTGGAGAGAAGATGGTGCCGCCGGAAAGAAGATGGCGTCGTCGCCGAGAGGAAAGCTGCTGTCGCGCGGATTGTGGTTTGTGGTTTCAACTTCTCACTTCTGCGTACTCGATCTTAGCGGATTGTGGTTTCAAACCGCAACCGCGCGGTTTGGGTCAATCCGAACCGTGAACCGCCAAGCACTTAACGATCAGACCGCAAATGAAACCGTTAGTTTAATGATGCGGTTTGGATTGACCGCATAAGCGGTTTGGGGCGATTTGGAGCGGTTTGGTCAAACCAATACCCACCCCTAGTATCTGGATTCACCCTGGCCAGTTAACAAGCTTGGCCGCTAAAGAGAAAAAACGAAGCTTTCGTCCCACTCCCACTTGGTCTCGTTTCCTCAGTTTTGTTCCGTGCCCTTCTCAATTACGGTACTCTTGTTTCTCCCGCTCATTTCTGTTCGAGACGAACTCAATTAAGTTGTCGTGTTGCTGCCAACTCTTATTATTATTTCCAAAACTTGGATTAGGACTTAGGAGAAAGGTCCGCTTGAAGCCAACCTTTGGCCTCCTCTTACACGGCTAAAGGCCACTTAAACTTTCTAAACCCACAATCGTGCTGCGAACCAACACGAGCAGCCAACCACCTCACCAATATTTGGTCGCACCAACCACATGGTTTGACTTAGACATCATAAGCACAAGTCAAGGCCACCCACTAATCCAAAGGCTTAATTGCAAGTTTGGTCACTCGAATCGCTATAAAATTTCACGTTTGCCACTCAAATTAATTTATTCCATTTATAGTCACTCGAATTAGTTGAACAGTTCAAGTTCGGTCACTCTCCGTTAACCTCCGTTAACTTTGACTGACGTGGCGGTCAACTCTGACAGTTGACCGTTAAATGTGTGACGTGGCAAATAAAAAATAATTAAAAAATAAAAATTAAATTTGTAGAAATTACACATCATTATCACAAAAAATTATAATTATAAAAAATGAAAAAAAAGGAAAAGCTCGTCAATCATCTTCCCCGCGCTCACATAGACATCGAACGCCTTCACCGTGTGGGCGTACTCCATCTCCGCGAATCGATCGAGCAGGACGGTCAGGACCTCGACTATCTCCATGTACAGAGCAAAGCTCTCTTTAACCACCTGCTGAAACGCCACCAGCACCAACCTGTTGGTCCTCCGGCGCGGCCCTCTACCTTCCTCCGGTCCCGCTGAAGGAGCCGGTCTCAGCATGCTTGAAAGTGGAATTCGGATTCACTCCTTACAGCGAGAGGCTGAACGGGCGGATCGCGTTTCTCGGGCTGGCGGTGCTGCTGCTGGAGCTGGCGACGGGGAAGAGCGTGCTCAGCTACCACACCCCGTCGATCGTCCTCGTCCTCGTCCTCGTCCCGATCTAATACAAAAAGCTTTTAAGTTTATTCCTTTTTAAAAAGCCCTGTAATTGCCGCTTATCAATTCACTCACTAGTCACTACTCATTTCTCCACCCCAAACGAATAGCTCAAATGAATAAGGACTCCGAACCCGACGCACCTCTTCCGGCCGGCGCTCCGGCGACGACAACGACCGGGGAATCCACCACCACACAACAACACAATTGGCTGATCCAAATCAAAGACCACATCCCTCGAGACCTCGACCACATCGTCCCAATCTCAGCCTGCATCTTCCCAGTACCCGACCCGTTTTCCTCTGCCGCCAAGCCCGAATCATTCGCCCCACAGCTCATCGCAATCGGACCCTTCCATCACTTCCTCAACGCGCTCATGCTGATGGAGACTTTCAAGCTCGGCCGGGTTATTGGTCTGCGCAACCATTCAGTCTGCATCATATCGGATTAAATCGATTCGGTTCTCAAATTTCGAGGCTTTTTGGGTTTCAATTCCATAAATTACCATGCCGAATGAAAAGAAGATAAAATGTGGTTTTGATTCTAACTCAGGTTCTCATAAAGTACAAGAATTTTTTGTTAAAATTTCCTTTTTTCATTTTTTATAATTATAATTTTTTTGTGATAATGATGTGTAATTTCTACAAATTTAATTTTTATTTTTTAATTATTTTTATTTGCCACGTCACACATTTAACGGTCAACTGTCAGAGTTGACCGCCACGTCAGTCAAAGTTAACGGAGGTTAACGGAGAGTGACCGAATTTGAACTGTTCAACTAATTCGAGTGACTATAAATGGAATAAATTAATTTGAGTGGCAAACGTGAAATCTTATAGCAATTCGAGTGACCAAACTTGCAATTAAGCCCTAATCCAAATAATGGCCTGTCCATAGCCACAAGTCTTGCTTCATGGCTTGTTGTTAACTCGCCTTTATTGGCGGATCTAGGACTGGGCCACACTGGGCCAGGGCCCAGCCCTCTTCCTACTAGAGAGCTAATTATTAGCTATACTTTCAGTCTTCATCTCTTTGGGTCCAGCCCTCTCTTTTCCCAAGTCAAGTCCCAACCCAAAACCTAACTCCAAACTCCCTGCAACTAATAAACCCAATGTCAATGGACAAATTAAAGGAGACCTGCTCCCGCCAATTGTTAGATGAAGTTGGGCTGGGCCAAGTATGTTATTTGTTAGTATGTGGTCAGGAATTGCTTGCATGGGCCAAGTAACACGTATGTTACTATGTTAGTGGTCTAGTTAGGTTAGTAGCAGTTAGGTTTTTCTTATGTTTTTTTTGTTGCCAATACGACTACTAAAAAAGATGGATGTTATTTGTTGCCAATATGATTACTATTTGCCACCAACTTAAAAAATTCAAAATTCAAAATTTGCATTTATATACCTTCGAGAGAGGATTTTTCACTAAATACAATAAATATCGAACTCAACAACTTCCAAAAAACTTGTCCAATCCTAAAAAATGACGGTCGCCGAAAAACTAACCGTAAAAGCCGATCCTCATCGTACTCTATGCACATGGAGAAGAACTGTATGCAAGAACTATATTAACGTTGCTCCATGTATATATGGTCAGTAATTTGACACTTTTTCGGTGGGTTTTCAGGACGCACCAAATTGCACTTTCTCTCCGCCCTTAAATGCGGTCCAGGGCTCTAATGTATCCTGGATCTGCCGCTGCCCGATCTTCTCCGGCGGATATGGTTTTAGCCTCCCCACCTCATACCAATACCCATACCTGTTCCATGAAGAGCATTTATTCACATACAAAAAAAATACATGGATCAAATTGTGGCCTGTCATTGATAGTGAAGGTAACTCAAGAAAATAAATAGTAGAAATCAATTGAGTGACCACTCAAATCAAAACCTAATTCATTTTCCTCAACAATCTCTTCACTCTTTCGCTTTTGCCCTCGTGCTAACAAGATTATGTTAGTTAGTTATTACTTAGTAGCATAGTCCATGAAACCGTATCGTACCGGCGGTTCAACCACAAAATACTAGTATCGGAGGCTAAACCGGTAGGCGGTATGTAACTGTATGAACGGTTGAACTACGGTTAAACCACGGTTTTGTTATAAAATACCCTATCGCTGACATTTCCGGTACGGTTTCATGGACCATGCTTAGTAGATGTATTATGGATGTTTTAGGATAAGATGCTTTGAACAGTTTAAAGAATGATTGTTTCTTTCTCAACTACTTCATGATGATATATTAGGTGCGTTTAGTATTATAAATGAAAATTTACATGTAAAATTTTAGTTCTTATAATGTCGGATGTATAAGATGGGTATTACACATGGATACCAGAAACTCACGGGTATGGGGATAGATTTGTAAAACCATCCTCCACAAGGGTATATGGGGCACTATGAGTATAGATATTTGAAAGCGGAGATGGGGATGGTTTAAGCAAACCCCGCCCCAAACCCGCCCAATTGCCATCCCTAATTATTAGGTATGTTTTTGTACGTCCTTTCTGTAGTTTTTAGCAATGCAGTCAAAATCGCGCTTTAAAACTGCCAATTAAGAAAACAATGGAAAATAAAAGTGTCTTTAATTCTCCACCCTTAGATCTGAATTTTTTGAATGATGGGTCCATATTTAGTTACTGGAAGTCAGCCTAAGAACCGCACCTTGGCAATGCGGTTCTGTTAGGTCAGGCCCATAACCGCATGGCCAAGATGCGGTTTTGGCCCATATTCTTAAACCGCACCTTGGGTGCGGTTTACATATAAACTGCACCAGGGGCGTGCGTTTCACAATCAAACCGCACCTTGGAGGAGCGGTTTTTAAAAATGAGTGCCATTTTATAATCACATGGCGTGCGTTTCACAATCAAACCGCACCTTGGATGTGCGGTTTTTAAAAATGAGTGCCATTTTTTAATTTCTTTGGACAGGGTGCTATTTTTATAATTTTTTTTAAGATGCTATTTCCGGAAAAATTCTCAAATAGCACTCCAATCTTTAGATTTGATCTGATTAGCACGACGGTCTCCATACTGAAAAACCCCAATAAATTAAAATGCGCCTCCCAAACAAGCTGCTGTCAGATTAACATTCTTTAGAAACAATATGGAAAATGCCCAAACAAGTTGCTGTCAGATTAATCATACTTTTGGAAACAATTAAGAGAGGTTCCAAATCAAGCAACTAACTAATTTGTACAATTAGATACGACCAAATTTATTGTAGAATATAATATAGTTTGTCACAATTATTAGTGATGCCTATTAGATGATGACTCACTCATTATATCTTGTTCTTTTTTTATGAGGAAATTAGCAACTGATCATTGGATATGCTTTAGAGAGGAAGACTCCATTACGAAGGAAGTTTCTCTTTCTCTCTTTTCTCACTCTGTGTCAGTTTCGTGTCTTTTTGCTCTTCGGAGCGTTCACAGAGCTGCCCACCTCGTTGGCATATCAGGCTCTTTCATCGGGAGTCCGACTGTATACGAAGTACCGTTCATTATTATAGTTTTTTTATTGTTGTTGTCCGGCCATGCCTTAGGGGCTTATCTTGGATAAACAAAAAATTCTAAAACATATATAATAGGACCAGATCAAGTAAAAAATCTCTATTTACAACATCAAGAACTTCATTCACCCTTTAAATTAAGATGCTGATCGGATTAGCATGGCCGTCTCCATACTGAAAAACCCCCAATAAATTAAAATGCCCCTCCCAAACAAGTTGCTGTCAGATTAATCATTTTCAAAAACAATATGAAAAATGCCTAAACAAGTTGCTGTCAGATTAATCTTCTTTATATACAATTATTCAATGAATTAAGAGAGGTTACAATCAAGCAACTAACTAATTGGTACAATTAGATACGACGAAGTATTGTAGCAGATAATATAGTTTGTCATAATTACATATAATTAGAGTGCACTTCTACTATGTTTTACAGTATTTGTGCTTTAAAAGTTAAACTAAAACTTGAAATTGTACCATAACGTTAAACGTGCAAATTGAACTTATACCAGAGGGGAATTTGAATATTTATTTTACGGGTACAATTTGAAGTTGTACCGAAACATAAATGTACAACTTTTAACTTGTACCATAATGAGATTTATACAAAAGATGAATTGACTACATTGCGCGGAAATACAATTTTGTATATCGATCTTACTCCACGTGGAGATTTTTTTTTCCCGATTTTGGTACTCAACTTTTGTGTCATGGAGTTATGACTTCATATTTCACCGACTAGGGGTGGAATATGAAAATTAAATATGATCTTATATTTTATCCACACAAAAGCAAAAACATACATAAAAAAGTTACTAAAGGTGTCCACTTTTAATGAATTAATTATTCTCCACTCTCTCGATTATGGTGTATTATAAACTAAAAAAATTCTCACATAGAAATGCTTAGCTGCGTATTTGATTTTGCTGGCTACTTCAACCTCCCACTTTTCATATACTATTATATTATAAAGTTAATTTAGTAAATAAATATAATTAATGTGATTATTGTGGATTTTGTGGGTTAACCAATATGGGTAGTGGATAACCACAAAAATCACTATATTACTGCTCATACCCAACCGACAACTTCTGGATATGGTTATCCACAATGTATGCAAATTGATGCGGTTTGCAGGTTATCCATAACCCCAATCCAACCTTCCACCCTTACTGAAAACCCCCCAATAAATAAAATGCCCCTCCCAAACAAGTTGTTGTCAGATTAATCATCTTTAGAAACAATATGGAAAATGTCCAAACAAGTTGTGAGATTAATCATCTTTAGAAACAATATGGAAATTGCCCAAAGAAGTTGCTGTCAGAATAATCATATTTAGAAAGAATTATTCAATGAATTAAGAGAGATTCCAAATCAAGCAACTAGCTAACTAAATTGGTACAATTAGATACAACGAAATTTATTTTAGCAGTAAATATTGTTTGTCACAATTATATATATAACGACAATAATTCTAACACGTATGTAATAGGAGCGGATCAAGTACAAGATCGCTATATACAACATCAAGGTCTTCATTCACCCATTAAATTAAAATGCAGATCGGATTAGCATGGCTGTCTCCATCATGAAAACCCCCCAGTAAATTAAAATAGCCTTCCCAAACAAGTTGCTGTCAAATTAACCATAGTTAGAAACAACTAGGTCAGTGGCGGATTCAGAAATTTTTTATAGTGGTGTCCTCTTCCAAAAATTAAATTAAATTAATAATT